GTGTGTGTGTGTGTGTGTGTGTGTGTGTGTGTGTGTGTAGGTGCACATGTGCCATGGCAATGTGTAGAGGTCAGAGGACAGCTTTATGGAACCAGTTCTCTCCTTCCACCATGTGGGTTCCAGGGATCAAACTCAGGCCATCAGGCTGTGTGGCAAGTGCTTTTACTCACTGAACTATCTGAACAGCCCTTTGCCTGTATTTTTGTATAACTTTTTATGAGAATGTCCAAATAGGTAACTTTCTTTTGAACCCTCTGGAGAATGTTAAGGACAGTTAGAAAACCACTTAAGGCTTATAGAATTAGAGTAACTTAATCAGATACCCATTTTAGCCTGTAGCATGGAGAATGTTTGTCTTTTTCACTAGCCTCCTTATATAAATATAAGATCTGCCTTTAAGCCTTGAACAGTTTTCTAGTTTCTAAACAACTTGATCTTAAAGCTTTGCTTTTACAGATAAGGCTTTTAAACCATGTGTTCCATGATATTTGCTTAAATAATATAGTAAAAATAGTGTGTTTTTGGATTAACCTCCAGATTGGCTATATTATGTGTATTATACTTTTCCTTTGACAAAGATAAAATGAAAATCTTGTCTGAGAACAAAATGGGTTGTTGCAGTAGATTCACACCACAATACCTGAGTACAGTTCTTCTGCATACTAAATTTTTTTAATTAAAAAAAATTTATGTGTATGTATGTTTTGCCTGCTTGTATGTAAAAGTACTACATATGAACAATACCCAAGGAGGTCAGAAAAGGGTGTAGGATTCCCTGGAATCAGAGTTCCAGACAGCTGTTAGCTACCATGTGGGTGGTGGAAACCAAACTAGGGTCTTCTCCAAGAGCGGCCAGTGCTCTTTCTTGCTGAGCTCCAGCCCCTGCATGCTGAAATTTTAAGTTGAGGATTCCAATTCAGTAAGTTCAGTATCTGCCAGTTTTATTAGAGCGTGTTTGCTTTTTAAATTTTTTTAAAATGTTATGTATATGAATGTTATACCTGCATGTATGTAAGTGTACCACAGTACCTACAGACAACAGAAGAGGGCATCACATCCCCTGGAACTAGAGCTTCAGAAGTTGTTAGCTACCATGTGGGTGCTGGGATTTGAACCTAAGTCTTCTGCAAGAGCAGCCAGTGCTGTTAACCACTGAGCTGTCTTTCTAGCCCCTTTGTTTGCTTTTAATGCCCTATAAGTGATTTCAATGCATGCCCAGTTAAAACCCATTACTCTAGTGACAGCAGCACTTTGTATAAAGTAGAAGAGGTTACAAAGAAATTGAAACTGCTCCTTCCCCTGGAGGGACATTATATTGTAGAAGAAATTAGCATAGATTTGAAGGCTTATTGTATTATCAAGAAAATCAGCAAGGAGACATTTTTCAGTTGTTTAAAGCATTTGCTGTTCTTCCAGAGGAACCCATTTCAGTTCCTAGCACCTACATGGCAGTTAACAACCTTCCAAAACTCTAGTTCTAAGGAATTCAGTGCTGTCTTCTGGCCTCTGCAGGCTTTGAATGCTTGAGGTACACTTACATACATACA